AATGGAGGGGAAAATGTGACCTCAAAATCAGATTGTGGTTCATTGTACGTTGCTCAAATTTCAACAAGACAAGTTCTTTGTGTGTGGGTAGAGCATACTGTAAACACATGATTCACCACAGCTTTCACAATCACCTGTAACAGATTACAAATGGCTCTCCTTGCTCCTCCAATTCTAAAGGATATTAATGCATTTACAAAGGCTTTGTCCTTAATATCCTTACAAAGGATATTAATGTATTTATCCAGGCCTTGGACATTTTACTGGGTCTCCTCCCTCTTTGTATTGAACAAGCCAAACATTAACAAGGTGTGTGGCAGGTGCGTGCAGCACCACACAGTTTGGGGTTGCAGAGTGGGTACTGGGACCCGTCATGCGAGATGAGGACCGTTACGTTCTCCCCACTCCTGAGAACAGCTCTGCACTGCCAAATAGAGACTGCAGTGGGGTGCGCTGCCGGCTTCGAAAGGCAAGAACGGAATATGAAGTGATCTTAATGGAAGGTGAGAGTTCATGAGATACAGCAGGTGTTATTTATTTATGAAGAGTCTTTTGTGCTCTCGGGAGCACGCTGCAAACTCTTGTCTCTCTGGGAGTTGGTAGACACCACTGCTCAGACATCAGCAGGTGCGGCACAGGATGAAACTCTGTCTGAAGCCATTGAAGACCGGGCAGGGTTACAATGCTTCCCTGAGAGGAGCAGGCTGTCAGGTTTCCCTTTGTAACATGCAGCTTTGTGACCAGGGGATTAGCAGAGCCTGACTTCCTACAGTTGCATCTTAGGACGGATTTCAAACCTAGACTCATGGATTTTCCACATTGGAAAAATGTGGAAGGTGCTTTCTCTGTGGCTTCTCTGCTGTGTAGTAATGTGTGGGCTCGCACTTCGGTTAGTCAGACACAGCACTCTACTCCCCTTTCTCCAAGGATCTTTCTGCATGAAACTTTTGGGAACGCAATTATCTTTGAGACCTCTATGCCTACATAATATGCGCACAGTCAAATCCAGACTATGCATGTCTCCTTAAGCTAAAAAAAAATTATATGCATTTGCTTCAGTTGCACAGCAGAGAGCAGGAATAGCCGTTTAAGTGTCTAGACACTCGATTTACAACGCCTGGTTTGCTGTTGCCTAGGCAGAAAGAGGATTGGGTTCCGATGAAACACTCCTGTTGAATTAGGGTTTTGCACTTGGCACTTGTGTTTTGCTCTGTGTCTCTAGAGGAATGATACTCTCTGCTCTGGCAACCTAACAGTTAAATTCAGAATTGTAAACAAGTAGGCATTTATATTTTTTTTTTCTATTAATACTCGCCCAGCTATGGCACTCTATGTGGTGAGGCAGTTTTTCCACCATAGAAAATTTCCTTGGCTAGGTTTAGGCAAGCATAAACATTTGCTTCTCTGGGATCCATTACTTACCGGCGTTTTTCAACTAATCAGCATCCAGCAGGATGAGTAAAGTTCATATTAAATGCTTCACTTTATGGGTTTTTGGGTAGGGAAATATATGTGTGTGCAGGGTAGAAGAAATTGGTCCCATGCAGCAGGGTTTGATTTAATTTGGAGGGTATAATTATTGGAGTATTTCAGCTTTACCCTGGTTCTCAGCACCTTGATAAACTGATGATTTGCTTGTGTGCAAATTTATTTTGAAAATAAATGACTGTCATACTTCAGATCAAAAGCCTAAAAGAATGAATCCAATGATGAAGAAAGATGGTTTGCTTTGATCTTAGCAACTCTATTACAAAATCTGTTTTTCTTTTCCTTTTCATGTAGCTCTGGTAGACAAGAACTTTTATTCTTCCCTAGTGTAAGCAGGTGACAGTGTTCTTGCAGTTTAAGGAAATAGTGACTCTTATATTACTGCTGAAAGGGATGGGCTACTTGGTGTAGAAAAATGAGATCCAAGTCCTTCAGCTAACGTTGCAGCCAGATCCTTTGTGAGCAAAGTGCCTAGAGTTCAGTTAATTCCTTTCTGCTTGGTTTCTTTCATTCAGTTTTCATGCTCTTCTTCTCCTGGATGTAATTTGCCCAGGAAAGGAAATGCTTGGGGAAAACCTATTCCTCTGGCAGCATTTCTAGCTCCACAAAGTCCTGGGGACAGACTTTCCTGAGGGCATCTTAATCTGGTGACTCAAGCTGACATTCCCACCTTCCTACAGTTGTTTCATGGCCCTTCCTCCTCACTGTCTCCAAGTAGCATCATGTCACCTTCCACATGTGGTGTCCAAGACCTTCCTTCAGCAGGGAGCACTAAGAAATGCCTCATGCTTTGGCTCCAATGTTGCCTTCCGCTACCAAAAAAGGGTTCTGGGGCCAGCTTGAAATCTCAAAATTTACACAGGCAAGAACTATCAGGTCTTTCTGTCCTCCCGTCTTCATTTTGGAGCCTGTAGGGTTGACGTTGTCCAAACAAGACCAATCCCTTTGCTTTTTAATGACAGCTGAAATTCTCATGTTGTAATGTAAATAAAAGTGAGGCTTTGAGGAAGAACATCAAACAGAGAGAGACTCACAGGGAAATCACAAGAGTTGGCAGCACCACATCTTCTGGCAATCTCTGTGAGTCACTCAGACTCCATCAGCAGGGCGCTGAGGCCCTTGGTGTTCCATTGACCTGACTTTCAGCTGTTGCAAAGGCAAGTAATAAAACAAAAATGTAGGGAGAGGCTCATCTTATAGTTCTTTCCATGTAGGTAGGTAAGATTTCCAATGGCACCAAACTGGAGACTCCTCATCACCTGCACTACTTGTTAAAATGTAAATGCAAATTCTAAACCATTTCTGATTTTTATATAAATCGTAAAACAAGTGCCTTGGCTCCCACTGGGCAGTTGAGGCTGTGCACTTATTGCTTCCTCGCAGACTTCACAGCAACTCATCAGTAGAGGCTGTGAAACTTCTCTTTTTTCGTACTAGTTTTCATTAAAACTAGCACAGATTTCGGCAGCAGGTGCTATTTTCTTTTATAAGCTTAATAAGGTGTTAGACAGTCATAAGACACTGACACATAGCTAAATCAGTGTCAGTTTTGAATTAACAAAAAGCCAATACCTTGCTATTATAAAATACTTCAGGAGATGCTGTTGATTTTTCAGCAGTTCACTTAGTCGCTACCTTACTGCAGGCAGCTGAAATAGAAATTCTTCCATTTCTCTCAACTCTGTTCTTGCAGTGAATGTTTGCAATTGCGTTGATCCTGCATCTCCGAGTTATAAACCTTCAGCTGGTATTGTGTACTCAGTACCTGTGCAGCTGGTGTTGGTACTGATGCTTCTAAACGTAAAGCAAGCAAGAGATGCAGTAGGTAGCGAACGGTGCTTTTCCAACCACAGGCTAAACCATACAGCCCCAGGGTATCTGCGATGCTTGAGGATTGTCAGCGCCTCACAGACTGGGAAGAAAGAAAAGCCTGCAAGATATTTTTCAGCTAACGGTGTCCATATTTGGACAAAGAGGTCCAATTTTGATCTTTGATGTACATTAATGGAAAATCAAGGTAGTTTTGCTGATGTCAGAGACATCCTAGCATGTTCTAGCATGTCTTAGAGAAAGATACATTTTTTTTCCTTTCTGAAAGAATTTTAAGGTCTTCACTTGGAAATTTCATAGAGAAAATGTTTTGTTCTGGGAAATTAACCTTTTTTGAACAGTCGAACAACCAGAAGAAGAGAAGGTGTGTTTTGAACTTCTCATTTTGCCCCAGCTTGACAGTTGACAGCATAGCAGGACAAAAGCAATGTTAAAGAAACTAGAAAGCAAGCAAACCTTTTCTCAGTAACTAAGATTTTCTGCTTCAATGTTTTGTATGTCACTTATCTTCATACTCGCTATCAAGTTGAATAGCAGATCCCCCATGAATTGTAAAAGAACTTATCTTCTCAGTTTCACAATCTACTTGGGAAAATTGCCACGTAAGCACAGGGTAATCTGACACATCTTTTTAGCATGAAGTGTTAAGCAGCTAAAATGACAACTATGCCTATTAAACCATCCAGGAAAGTAGAAGGCTCACATTTTATAACATTTTAACTAGTTCTTCTTCTCCTACTACACTAAGCTGTCACCCCCTCTCACATTTTAAAGTGTCTTTATGACCCACTTTCTTCTCTTAAATATTTTGGTAGATCTAATAAAAAATTATGGAGGTGTTGCTAAGGAAGATGGATTTTTTCATTCTAGAAAAAAATATCTCTTGTTACTCTCCTTTTCACTCCTATTGACAAGTGTTTTACCCCTGCAAAGGTAGATACAAGGAAGAAAAGTGGTAACGTTTTCCAAGTTCAGTTCAAGTGAGTAAAGGTGTGACAGAGTGAAGGCTGAGGAAGAAAGAGGCTACGGTGACATCTCAAGAGCACTATGCTGGGGCAGTGGCTGATGTTACCTACCTGGGGCCAGTGGAGCTCAAAGGGTTCTTTTTACTTCATTCATCTCATTGGGAATTAAAAGAAGCCTTTGGTGGATGACTCTTCTGGGATTTTTCTAAAGTAATCTGTTGGTCTTGATTGCAGTCCTGAAGGGGTAAAAAAAAAAAAAAATACTAGGACTGACATGAATCAGCATCACAGAAAGGAGATCAGGGATTTAATGGACAGGGATTGTATTCCTCTCTTGTCCCTTGTTCCATCAAATGAGGGGGGAGGCCCAGAGAAAGGGATGAATGGGAAAATGTGGGGTGCTGCTTTCTCTGCAGCTTGGTGTTTGCAAGAAGGACCAAGCCACTAAGACTGGTGATCCAGAGCTGAGTCCAGTTGCTGCAGGAAACTCACCAGTCAGCCCCTGCTCCCAGTCAGAGTCCTGTTAACTTAGTGGTGCTCCACCTGGGCAAAATAGCCTCTTCGTGTAGGATCTGGATTGCTTGATCAGGGCATTTACCTACTCCGACCTCCTTTAGTGGTAAACGTTTTGAAAGATCCACCAGATACGCTATTGTATTTCTGTGGGGCTGAAAATCAGATCCTTGGTGCCTTGCAGTTCTGGAAGGCATTCACTCAGTGGCCACTGTTGATGACTGCAGGAGACAAAGTCAATTTACAAATATTTCTATTAACACAGAAGTGGCATTCTTCCTTGTTCTAGTAATTACTGTTTCGTTCTCAAAACAGCTGTCGCCATTATCCTTAATGTCGGACCTGTGAACTTGGTCCCTAGGCACTTGGGGGAAAGTGTTACCAACAAATCTGACATGCTTTCCTCATCATCTTATTGAAGCATACTGCAAACTCTTCGAGCACTTTCTTGAACTCAACAATCATTGTAGTGAGCAGCTTAGGCCATGCATAGTCAAGACCGCCCCCCGCCCCCCTTTTCTTACACAAATACCTTAAAGTATATAGGAAACTTTTTTTCTTGGTGGTCTGTAATTTAGGAACTTTTGGGGCTCATTGAATGCATTGCCTTCCTTTCTTGGCTTATTTTATCATTGGTACATTTAATTTTGTAATAAGTGCACAGCAGTTGCCACCTTAATATTCTCTGCTTGCTGGAGACATGTATTACAAGGAAATAATGTCAAAGTTTGCAGTGATAGGACAGAAACTCTTGCCTCTTATCCAGAAAGACACAAGTGTGCTATTATTTTGCAGTATCAGAGTTCATTCCAACTGTTCTGTATCAGAAAATGCTGATTTGATTGAGAACTATTAACACATTGATGGATTTCAGGTCCAAAGGGACCTTACTGATCACCTGCTCTGACCTCAGCATTTCCCCATCCAGGCGGGGACAAACGAGATTGAAATGTGGTTTATTGCATTGCACGTTACTGACTTTCCAGTCATGGTTTGAATGTGAAGGGAAAATAGGTTTTCCTCCTTGGTTTCATAGATTAAAAAAGGTCTTTTAACAGACAGTAAAAATAATTTATTCTTCCTTGATCCATCAAGAATGAGCAAATGGGCTGCTGCTCAGAGATGGTTTGGGGTGAATTATATGATCAGTAATTCAAGCCATCAAGAAAAGCTTGTGTTTAATGCAATTCTGGGATCCACTTTAATCTCCAAAGGTCTGCAGATACCACTCAGGATAGGCTGTCATCATTAAAGTGCAATGGTGTGAAAGGAGGAATGGACTGAATATCCAAGAAACATTTACAACCGCTTTTGGATTAATTTTTTTTACATGAGATCCAAATTTTTAACTTGAGCATTCAGCATGAGGCTGCTGAATTCAGAGGTGAGGTGAGGGGCAGGCAGAGATGGCCTGTCTTTTGGAGGTTCTGAGGAGCTCAAACTCAACACCAGGAGCAGGCACAAGTGTAGAGCCCTTCTGGGCATGAAACGGGAACTGGGAGTTGAACTTGCTAGAAACCCCAACCGAAAAAGGCCCATATATAAACCAGTGACAGATAGTCTGTTTTTGCAGAGCTTTCAGTCTGTGTAGACAAGAGGAAGAGAAGCAGATATGGAGATGTGAGGGGCCAAGGTCTCATAACCTTGCATTAGAATGCGGATATCCTGATAGATAGGGTCTCGCCCTTTCTGCTCGTCTTGGCTTGTATCCTCGGTTGTATCCTTGCCTGCGGTGTTAAAATCTGTTAAGAGAGACTGCTGCCTCCATTTTGACCCACCTCAAAGACAGAAGTTAAGTTTAAAATTCATTTTGCTGGATGAATGCTCATGTAGAAGCTTAGACATTTCTGAGCTAACATGGATTTTTATGTTGGATGTTTTAAATTCTTGATGCAAAGAGCACTATTCTGCACTGTAGGAGAGTGAGGGAAGCAGGATCATAGGTGTCCTCGCCTGTCCTTGGTGCATTTGAAACCCTTCAGGGAATATGACAAGGTGTCTGCTATAACCCCGCATGCCGAGACAGTTTTCTATGACTAGCTGTGCATCCTCGTTTTGCACTAGAATTTAACGTGGGGGAAGCAGGTGAAGATCACCTGTTCAGCCTTAAAACCAATGTTTGAGACATGAATTGGCCTTCATTTGAGTGACGGCAGGACAGAAAAAGCATACAGCTGGAGTGTAGTTTTGTAACTGGTCTGTAGGGTTGAACTACAGGCCAGGGGCACTTTTTGGTCCCTGCAGAGGAGAGGTCTCTGCTGAAGCCTATGGAACATGGTATTTAGTCTATAAGATCATATAGTCAGGTCATTGAGTTTTAGCCCCCAAAATTTCAGCCTAGTCTGCTGCTTGAGAGCGAAGATGTGGATTCCATTAGATAACTGAACCTAATCCAAAGCCTGTTGAAATAACTTACGAGTTTTCTGTATTTTCAATGGAATAAGCCTGGTTTTAAAGTGCAGCTATTTGAATTCATAAAAAAAGAGTTACTTTGCAATATTTCCTTGATTACCCTTTTCCCTTAAGATTTTGAATAGTGAACATTTTTATGGTGCTGTACAATTCACATCTCACTTCATGGTGTCCCCACGAATGGCTGCAGATTCTATTTCTATTTTACCTTTTTATTTGAACTGGAAATGTTTCAATGACTTTCCAAATGTTCTGAGCTCTTCATTGGCAAAACTCATTTATAGGCAATGATGATCAAATGCACATGTTAAGGCTGAGCCTGGCTGGTTTAATGGATATATTTGTCATTTTCCTTTCACCCTCAGCTTTATATTCAGGCCAGACGCCCTGAGAATCTGACCTTATCCATTGCCAGAGCAGCATACCATTCCCATCCCTTGCGGCTGCAAGGCGTGAACAGAGGAGCACCATACCAGCAGTACCAGCCCGTCGTCATGCTCGAGCAGGCTTATATCATCCAGTGGGACGGCAGAGCACCTGAGGATATTATCCTGTACCCGATCAACTTCAACAGGTACTGCCCTATGTTGTTAGAAAACGTTCTGTTTTCAAAAGATCCGGAGCTATTTCCCAGGTTATTCACAAGTGACCTTTCAAATGTCTCAGCAATTTCTGAGAGCAAGGTGTTAATGGCTGGCACTTACTGATGCAAAGAGATGCCTCTGCTTTCACTTTATTCCAGCTTGTTTGATGCACAGACATGTTTCTCTTTCCAAAAAGTTTTGAAACAGAATCCAAGTAAGTCCTGGCCTGCTGTCCCTGAAATCCCTCCAGAAGAGCTCTGGCTCTTGTTCGTTTGTTTGTTCTAGTTGCTGCACACATCATTTATCTCCCATATATATAAGGTGCAGAAATACATCAGAATGTGCACAGAGCTTTGCATCTTCTGTAATCCAAACAGCACGGCAATCACTGTTTCTTTTTACATCAACTTTTAAAACATTAGGACTCAGTACAGCAAAATTGTAGGCTGTGCTGTATTTATTTCCCAAATTTCCTTCTAGTGTTATATAAAAGCAGGGTATATCCATTAGGTTAGGATAGTTTTGGCAAAAGCTTGAACTCCATTTGGTTCCCCTGAACTTTGGAGCTGAAGAAGTTTGGGGAAAAATACTGTTAGTTACCATTATGAAGCCCCATGGGAATGCAGCCAAGAAGGGCAATGTTTCCTCTTTATACATGCCCATTACAGCAAGTGACATACACCTGTTCCTCTTGATTTAAAGATGTAGGTAGTTGTAAGGCCATGACCGAGTCACTGGAGGATCAGTGTTTGGGCACTCCTGTCACAGAGCAATTATTAGAATTAAATCACCGTTTTCTCTATTAATATATCTTTGTGCACTTTAAGGAAGAGGAAAACCCATTAGTCACTCATGGACAAGCTGAGCTTTGCAATTATTATCTGTCTTAAAATGATGAGCTATTTCCTTGCAATTGCAGAGCTAAGTCTTCTGCCGGGTAACTGGTGGTTACTCTATCACTGTGTCAATTAACACTTGCCAAAGCTTTGGCCCACTGTCTTCAAGCACAGATACAAATTTGAAGGCAGCACTGGGTTGTTGGTAAAACTCAGCTTGAAGTTTAGCTCTTGTTCAAGCAGCAACTTAACTACAATTTACTATTGAAAAACCACAATGTGGTTGTGGTTCTCTTTGTCTTGTGTGAAACCAGTTAAGTTATTTGAACAGGGCAAAGGTTTGTAGATTTTTCTGATCCAGAAACAGTTGGCAAGGTGTGTGTTTTGAAGAACTATAAACAAGAAATATACTGTAATGAGGGAAAACCACAATTTTAGTTCATTTGATTTAGTGCGTCTTGCAAAGAAGTAATTGGGAATGAAATGTGTGGCTGCTCTGTGTACACCTCAAGCATGCTGGATGCTAACAACTGCGAGACTTAAGGCTGATGCAGTGGCAATAGTGAAATGTCCAGACTGCATGCAAAAACAGAGAAATGACATTCCCGTGGAAGGGTAAAGCAATTGAGTCAAAAAAGAAGGTTTTTGGGTTCGAAGGAAGACAAGTGCCTGCCTAAGCAGTTGCATGTATGACTTTTATCAAACATAGTTTTCTAATCCTTTTTGTAATGGAGAAAAATCTCAGATTGTGGAGCGCAGAGTAACCAGAGTTAGAAAATCAGGGAAGACTTTTACCTGTCTCAAGTGGTTTTATGTTTTGTTCGTTCTTTTAGAATCCAAAATACTGAATAAACTGCCAAAAAATGAGCTCCTAAGATAGTAACATCTGTGCAGAATATGTGATGCAAACACAAAAATGTTTGATGAACTTTAATAGCATATTCTAGGATTAATAATTTCATACATAACCGAGTGAACAGCTAAATTATTTTTAGTCTTGTCGTTGTAAAATGATGGATAGATAGATATCCGGGATGCTGCCTCTGCAGCCAGACAGCCCTCAAGCTTCTGGAGTGATTTGCTCTGCACTGGCTAAAGGAAGGTCAGAGGGGAAATAAGGAATTTGACAGAAAGATGTGTACCGGGATTTGGATTTTTGTGGAGGTCAGGCATAGCACTGATGTTGAATACTTGCATGATTAACGCTTTCCCTGCCTCTGAAGCACTGTAGAAAGACCCAACAGAAGTCATGCCAGTTCAGACGTCTATTAAAAGACTGGAATGTCCGGATTCCTGGGGTGGGCAGGAGCTGGTGGGGATAAATTCACATGACTCAGCTGAAATTGGCAGTGCGAGCTGCAAATCTCGTCCGGTGAGTTCAGAAGCACCGCTCGGTGGATTTACTCAGCAGAGGAGGACACCAGTTAGAGCACTGTAACCGAGCACATCTCTTTTCTTTCTGCCAAGGGCACCCGAAGGGTTGCTGAAGTACTTGTGTCTTCCTCGCGCTGATTCAAACTGTGTTTAGAGTAATTCTTCAGTTTCTTCACTTCCATCGGGATATGTAGCTGAACCAAACAAAATCTCCGCGTGCTGCCATCTGCGGCCATGTGGTGCAAACGAGCTGCTTAACGCACGCCAACTGCCCTCCCAAAGAGAGATGTGTGTGTTTGCGTTGTAGGGCTGTGTCACTAGCTGACTGATGGGCAAAGGCAAAGCCATGGTGGAGACCCACAGGCTGTGTGTTCAGGCTGCTGGGGAACATAGCTGTCTCAGCAGAAATGCCTTTTTAAGCTGTAGATGGGTTGTCTGCCTAATGGCTGGGGGTTTCCCTGGGAGGATGAGAAGGCGGCTGGGTATTGATGCTTCTGGAAAGAGGTAACGCAGGAGAAGTAACTTGTGAATGTTCTGGCAAATGAACAGAAGGAGAGTGCCGGCTGGAATTTTAATGACCAGGAATGATGTGTGCTCCAGAACCAGTCCAGATCTGCTGAGGATCGCTCTCACTGGGCATAAAGAGTGTGCAGACCCTTCCTGAACCTTAGACCCCTTCTCCATGGGCTTCATCTCTTTGTTGGAGCGCTTTCCACCCCCTCAGAGCTGTTTCTATGTTTTCTTGGGGTTTTTTTCTGCTTTACGGAAGTATGAGAATTATCTGTAAGATAGGGTTAAGGGCTTTCTTCAAAATTACTATCCTGAAGCACGATGGCCCACAGAGGGCTCAAGCTTTTTATAAGAGGGAGGAGACGCTGGTAAGCCAGGAAGAGAGGATGGAAAACATTATTTGTTTGCAAGTAAGTGCCTCCTCCTTTCAGGTGCTGGAAAACACTGCAAAGATTGGCACTTCATAAAGTAAGCAAAGTCAGAAATGAAGTCCTTCAATTTAATGACCTAGGCTTTATGCCTGTGCAAATTTTCTAATCGCAGAAGAAGCTAAGGCAAATACTATTATCAAAGGCACAGTGCTGTTCAGTAAGTCAGCCAGGCTTCTTTGTGCTATCAGAACATCTAAAGATAAGAATTAAATCTTCTCAAAGCACATATCTGAAGTATGGTGTAATAAGTTGTGTTGTTGAAGCAGCCTGAAAAGCAGTGGCAATTAGATTAAACATTCCTTGTTTTTAATGAGCACAGGCAAATATCTCTATACTTGGTCTGTTAAGGCTCAGAGGGAAGGGTTTTCCCTTATTAGGGCTCTCTGCTGTGGTTCAACAGAGCGAATTCAGGGAAATGTGAGCAGCTAATAGTATAAAGAGGGTATTTTTGGGGGGTGGATTGCCACAGTCCTGCAAGCAGGGGTTTTCCTTTGTACTCCAGCTCTCCTGACAGATACTGGCTCCAAGGACGGGGCAGGACAGCCTTCCCCAGGCTCTCTTCATCAGCACCCTCTTAGCTTCACCTGGGAGGCTACAGTGAGGCTCATAATATTGATGTTCTTTGGTGTCTTGTTGCAGAAGTTGGATCCCTATGAGAGCCTTTAAAAAAAAAACCAAACAAACCAAAAACGGCAGGGGAGGGCCAAATTTCTTGTCAAGAGCAAGCAAAAGCGCAGATGTCCATGTGTGTGCCCGAGCATGCGTTCAGCCTTTGCCCTGCTCCGGTGTTTGTGCAGGGGTGGGCACAGGAGCGCTGCTCGACTCCCGTATTTCCTAGGCTGAGTTCTGCGCTAGGGCTTTTTATCATATTCACCAGCGAATAATCTAAATTATCTGGAAATTCAAGAGCCTGGAATGAGTTTGCATCTAAACTCTTCATTAAAAATAGTGGATGCTGGGTGATAGGAAGTCTCCAGGATGCTGCAACCCACCCAAAGGTGGAGATTTCAGTGCAAGCAAACATATGCAGCCCATATCTGCACTGAGACTCTAGGGGACTTGTTATATTTGTACTTGTCAGGGTTGTGTAGGTAGGTGTTTTTCCTATGGCTTCTTATTCAATGCCAGTCTGATTCATACTTTCAGCTACTTGTCATTTTTCCGATTAAATTCCTTAGCGGTGATAAGGCCTGGAGGAAAACAAAGGTAATGAGACAAGGCTAGAATGTGCTTGTTGCAGACTTGCCCAGTTTATGAATATTTCCTAAACTGTTTCTTTTTCAGATTAGTTCTAAATGAGCTTTTCCTCTTGCTTCCCAGATTGATAAACGCACAGGAAGACAAAATTAGTATTTCAAAGCGGAGCTAACAGTTTAATGCTGTGACTACTTTCGTGTTCTTGTACGTACATGAGTTCTGACCTCGATCCCCCAGATCTGGATGTAATACAAGTAACACCAGCACTATTTCCAATAATAATAAGTAAAGTGCTGCTTGGGTTTCATAGCCTGCCCCTCCTGATAACATCTGTAGTTCAGAGTTAATCATCCACACAACACAGAAGTCAGCAGATATATTTGAATTCCCTTCTGTCTATTTAAATCCCTTAAATTACGCACAGGTCAACCAGTGGATGAAAACCACAAGATTTTTTTTTTTTTTTAATTGGAAAGAAGCTAAAACTTTTGCCAGGACACCAGGCTGCAGATTGCACTGTTTCCGTACAGCTGGGCCAAAGCGGGTGCTGACATTGCCATGTCCGAGCAACCCTAAAGCCCCGTCTTTGCCGCCCTGCCTGCAGCCCTTGTTGCTCTCCGTCCTCTGCGGCTTGCGCCCGCG